AATGTAAAATTACAATTACAACAAAGCAATGTTTTAATATGTGGACACGTTACTTAGAGCGAAGCAGTCCTTATCCTTGACACTAACGATACCCTCACAAAAATTCCGAGTTTAGCGTAGCAAGAATCAAACCAGACAATCAGTGTTCCCATGGATAAAATAATACAGCAAAATATTAGACGAAGGATCAGATTTTATACGAAATTTAGAAATGAAGAAAGTAATAGCCTTCTAGAAAAAAATTCCATCTTCAACCACTGAAAATTTTAGAGCATTCGATTCAGTAATCGAAAAGAAAAGCGACCTTCCAATAACTATGTCAAAGAACAAGGACAACAACACAAAATAACAAAAGTTTTGGTCAAAACGATCATTGTGTCCACTAACCTGTCCAATAAAATTTTGGTTCATATTTTCAGTTTCACTTGCTCAAAAACTGTTGGATTGCACTTGATGAAAATTAGACTGCGAAAAGTTTCTGACCACAATAAATTTCTTCTTGCCGTATAAAGTTACCCGCAATTGAAAAAACTCCTTCTGACGGGGCTGATGTTGCTATTAGTCCCAAATAATCCTGGCTAATGAAGCAAGCCTGGGAAATTCTTCTGATTTCTTTGTTCAATACATTAATGGGTTTTTGTCAAAATGCAAACTAACGAAAAGCATTCGAAATTGCGAAATGAAGTACTGTTTACAACCACGACTGAAAGTCTGTCTGAGTGTCTTAACGCATGCGAAAAGACATATTGTTACGTCACTTTTTCGCATTCTGCTGATTGGCTAATGTTACGAAATAAAAAAGGAAGGCGATTCTCAGAAAACGCCCTTGGAAAATTTAGTTGGTGACCCCAGATATAATTGAGCCAAAATTTTAGCAAATTGAAATTAAATTTACAATTACACAGAATGAAAATGCCTCAATTACTTTACAATTACATAAAAAACTGTAATTAATTACATTAAAGTAGTGCGCAAAAGTATTCAGAAATTTGTTGGAAAAATAAATATCCTATCGATTGGGAAAAAATATTATGTGAGAAGTATTTTTAACGCGGTCACCACCGTTATTAAAACTGTTATCTGGCCACAACGTCATCAAAAACGACAAATCTGGAACATCAATCTGATTGGCTACTTATGCTAGGGGTCAAAGTTCATTATGTCATTCTTTTTAGTCAACAAGTCTCGTATTTGCATTCCATGTATGCACATATTCGGAAATTCTCTTACACACTTACTTACTTTTTACACACTTACGTGCAATAAAATAAATGATACAGCGGTTTCAATTCAATCCTTGTCGATAAATTAAATACGTTCGTTGAGTATTCTGACATTCTCACTTGTAAGGCTCGCTTATATTTCGTATTTATGACGTTTAGTTTTTTGAACACCTTTTTTTCATTGTTTATTCAAAGTCTGTTGCGGATTGACTAATCTACATTTAATTTCAAACTCTGGACGCATCGGTGACATAATGCTGCATAAACCATTCAGAAACCGTAAAATTGTGAATCACCACCAAATACACCGCCGTCTCATGAGGTTTAATTTATTTTCAAAGGAAAATAAGATATACGATTATATTTCGATTTGAATGTTCAGGTTAATTTGAAAATTAGAAGAATGTGTTAACATAATAAAAGTAAAAAAATTAGCATCCAAAATGTCCACTGTTCGATATTATATAAATGAATATCACGTAAATGCGTATAAAAAAATATATATAACGTATTATAATAATGTGATCCCTACCAACCGGTCGCTCTGGGGCCATTTTACATGGATTCTTTTTTTGTCAATTATTAAGCCCTAAAGCTTCACTCATGGCTTTTTAATGACGCGTGCAAGAGTTCTATTCAGCAATATATGTTTAATACGCACTCCTCTAAAAATAATTTTTTTATGTGCCAAAATTCCAAAGTTTCTATTGAACTTGCGAGATTTTGTGTCTAGTAGAGGGTTAATAATTATACCTAATTTATTAATTTTTATTTTAACGTTTTCTTGTGTTATTTTCCAACAGAACAACACCAAAACCACTATTATAGCAAGAATGGTTACTCTAAAATTCACGATTGTATTTACAGAATTTTCAAATTCAAGGCTCCAATTGACAATTTTGATGACGTCACACCTCTAATTATTACTGCACAGGCCCCCTCAATGAAAAAAATGTTACTTTTTCCGACGAAAATGCGCGTAGAGAGACATAAACATTGTAATGCGCGCCGTTACGCGTGAAAATTACCATTAATTTTACGTTTTTTCCATGTTTAAAAATTCTCTATACCTACACCAAGTATGGTGCAGTCGAAATCATATTTTTCAAAACATCACAGGGCCTGGGATGGAATGTATGACTAAAAGTACCTTTTAGAGTTGGACTAGGCATGAATGATACTGTTTTTATGCCATCCGGCTGTGTTGGATTTTAAAGTTTGCATCGAGATAAATTGAAATAATTGTTTATTCCAAGTTTATTCTTTGAAAATAGTTGATATTTTATTATAGATATGTGTATTGCAATTAAGATAACATGCTACGTCATCGAGGACTCATTTTGTGCACTCATGAGGCATATAAGTGCAGCCAGTTGGAACAAGTCATTGAAAATATCCCGTATTAGGCATGAAAATCTTTTCGTAACGCCAATTCAGACCGGTCATAAGATTACATATTATCGGGATAAATTCGAAGCACAAAATTATAAAGTTATAGAATATTACAACAAGAAAATTACGTATTTGTTTCTTTGTTAATGCAAGCCCATCAAAAAATAAAATAAAAATTATGAACACCCCTTTGACAGTAAGAACTAAAATTTTTAAATAATCATTTCAACCAATATCCCATTAAATTTCTTGTTCTCTAACGTTCATAAATTTTTTGTTGTTGAACATAGGAAAAACTGAATCCAAATTTTATATTATGCACTGACTGATTGATTTTAAATTATCCAGATCCAGCAACTTATCCTGAACGAAGAAGACTTCAAACCATCTCATGCTATCATCAAAAACCTTTGTCAACTGTTTAGTACAGTAGAGGAATCTATTTACCTTAATGGTTGGGAAATTGACCAACAAGGTATTGATGCCCTACAATCGGATTTAATAATGTTAAACAAAAAAGTAAGTACTTACGATATAAAGGATATCTGTATAGATCTGTTATTAATTGAATACAGTAAAAATTGAATCACAGTAAAAGTAACATTAATTTATTATTTTATAGTAGTTCGGCTAATATCATATTCTCCAAACAAAAAAACTGAAATAGAGAGAGATTTTTAAATATTTCTAAGTAATTTGTTAATATTAATATTAATTAATAATTTTTGTGGGACAGATCTAGTTGTTCAATTTCTCTAACAGCTTGCGCCATCTGAATGTCGCGTTAAATCTAGCCCGCCATCTAATATTGAATTGTGAAATGTAACATTTATATATATTTTCGCTTCTATTTTGGATTGATCTATGTAATATGATTCAAAATAAGCATTTTTATATTGTTTTTTTCAATTCACTTAAAAATACGTTTAGCTGTCAGTTTTATTCCTTCTAGGTTACATTCATAATTTTCGAATTTCTGTGGATGCAAAATATACATAATTAAAACGTTTAAATAATAATGGATACGTGTTTCAATTCTGCTGTTTATTCATATTGCATACAGTATATCCTGATTCTGATATTAAAAAGTCAATTACATATTGATCATTTTCGCAAAACTGAGTCCAGCCCCAAATTTAATTACATTATTTGACATAAAGGTAGTGCAAAGTATTCGTAATTTAATCACCATTTGACGTGTCATGCCTGTTGTACCATATATGATGCGCAAAAATATTAAACAAGCTGTATGTCGATTAAACGCTATTGATTATATACCTTCAAAGAGAAACATTAATAAAGTAATACTATTTTTATGAAAAAGATTTTAATTAAAGAAATATCTTTATTTTAGCTGAGAATTCGCATTAACGGTGTTTATCTATCAGCATCCACCGATCAGCAAGGCTAATCTTCACGAATTCAAAGTAAGTCAAGCTTTTAAATAAACAACGAGCCGACATTAAAAAATATTGGGATAATTAGGTATGTCACATTGAACGTATTTTCAATATAGTGCTTTTCACCTTCTGCTGGAAACAAAATTAAAGCAAATGTTAAACAACACTTATTACAGAGACTCTGAATAATAAGTCATCAAGAGCTGCTATACTGAATATCATTTGCTGCACTACAGTGGCATTTTAACTAGACGCTCACATACAAATTTAAATCTATATTTAAACGATTTCGAGCCTAAACATAAATAATGAAAATTCAACAATTAAAGTAACTTACAAATATGAATGTTGTTTTTCATGAATTTATTTGATAAATTTGCTTATATTGTACAATAACAAATATTATTTTTCCATTTAGAGAAACTCAATTAGACGTATTTTCAAATAAGGAAGAAACTGAGAATAAAACACGGATGGTGAAGTGTTGTCCCAAATTGAATTGATTATTCGGTGCTCCTGAAGTATGTGTAACAAGATGGCGCACAGCCTGAACATAGTATGTGAACCAGGTTAGGATTCATGTTGTACGTCATCGTGATACGAATACTTCCTGAGCGCCGATTATTGAGCACATAGTCGTGTATTCGTTGAATCACGTTGGGTTCAAGATATTTAGGTATAGTCTAATTTTGATTCGTTGCTTATATTCGTTACTCCGTGATTTGTGGTATTACTTGTCAAAAATGATATACTGTCAAATACCGCAAGAAATATTTAATTATATTTTGAAAGGAATTTTGAAAGTTTCGATAATTTGCTTATTTTAAAATTATGCGACATTGTGGCGGTACATGTATATCATTCATTCATTTTTTTTATTCATTAATTTTTGTCATATGGTTTATTTATCACTAATATTATCACTAATATTCAATATTTAATACATGTAGTTCTAAATTGTAGTTTTGTTTAGTAAACAAAATTTCAAATGTTACGCAAATGGTTTATGAGTATAATAATTTATTCTAATATTCTGTGGATTGATAACAAATGCAAAACAATGCCAAAATTTTACTACTTATCCATACTTTGTTTTCCGAAGAAATGAACACTCTATGACGAGTACCTAAATTGCAAATCGAAAGTTAAATGTGTATACTCACTTTTAAGACACCGTGTATATATAAACTCTGCTTGAATTTTTTGTATATTTAATTTGCATGCTGATGTTAAAATAGCTTGGTCAATGATTTATTTTAACAAAATGAGTAGTAAAAAATTTTTGAAATACAAACTAAGCAGATTTAGAAGAAGTTTGTGACAATCTTTATGGGTAATGTGCATTTCATTTCTAAGGTGCGCATTGAAAAAAAAATGAATTCGGCACATATTGCATAGAATTGAATCACAAATCTATCAATGAGTTGTAATAGTTCACCGCCATTTATAGTTAGCTAAACGTGCTCTGTCGTAGTCGACGCATCATCAGAGATGAATAAAATGTTAAATAAAAACAAACGTGCATGAGTGTTGCCAAATATTTTAATTACCGATTCGGTATGAAAAAAAAAAAGATTTTGTCCATTTTTATTGCCTACATATTTAGAGAGTCCTATTTAGGCCTTACACTTTACCTAACATAAATCTTGATTTAATATATTCAACAGTACGTTATTTATTAGGTCAGTGAGAGATTGGGTATATTCGTATATTCCAACTAAAATTCAAACTTAGATTCATTATATTGCAACAGTAGTAATTATATTTTTACACAATTTAACTGCGAGATGAGTTTTTAGTCCCAATTAAAACTAGAAAATCCACAAAAAACAATCCTGTAGTTGCCCAGGATCTAACGTACCCCATCAAACCGTTACCAGTCCAACCAATAACAATCGCGTATTGCGAAACTGCCTGCTAAATTTGAGCGTCGTCATCCACGCGTGAATGACATATTGGGGTTGATGAGCGAAACATGTTACCTAAAATTTCCAAGACTTATCCAGTTTATGGAGTAACGAGACAACTTTTTGAAGGAGTTTTCTTTTGCGGAGGGTATCGTTCTCGAAATTATATATATTTTGACTCAGTTCACAAAAAAATAGCCAGAAATTGTGAGTAAATTGATAATTTTCCGACCATGGGCCCATATTTTCGCCACTTCCATGGAAACGAAATATCAATCTGGATACATTAGCAACTTTGACATAAAGACATAAATTTTGACATAAATTTTTACGCAGTTATTTCGTCCAATGCCGAAAAGCGCAGCGGTATTTATATCATGAACTACAATATCTAGGAATACCTGAAATGTTTTTTCAATGCTCAAAATGTTTTGTTTTGTTTTGACATTAACAGATGAGCATTAAAAAAACCATAATTTATTTGCGTACGACGACTATGTCAAGTTTGATTTCAATTATTTTTGGTGAACTGTGTGACCAAACTTATTGACTGAAATGAGTTTTGGGCTTTTTCGGCGGCGCACCAGACTCTTATTTCCATAGTGCAGATCTTTTGGATATTTATTTCAATAAGGGTTGATATTGTGGATTCGGATCGAATTAACTTTCTTCGGTCATTGACTCTAAATTATTATTGGCAATATTTTCCAGCAATACCTGTTAAACAAGTAGAAATTGTAGGAGAGTGTTCTATATATTCTTAATCCCGATCTCACGCATCTGTTCTTTGCAAGGCAGCTATTTAAATAGGAAAAATAACATCACAGTAGTTGTAAAATACAATTACTGTTTTAAAAAAAATCATATGAAATTAACACGGTGTCAATCGGCGCCATTTTAATTACATTCACACTCATCTTCAGCAATAATTTTTTAGTTTAATGTAAAAAAGTACAAAAATTTTGTAGAAAATTCATTAGGTAACTAGTTGGTTTATCATTGTCCCAGATGATACATTGAATGCGCATGCACTATTACAGCCGGATTCAATATTCCAAGTTCTAATAACGCAATATTATCAAAGTCGATGTTCTTGTAGTCTTGAGTAATTTCTACTCTGTGCGTTTCAATCAGAATAGTTGACCCTTTTTAAAGACCGTCCTAAAGAATGGTCTAATCGTAGTAAAAATGTTCAAGGATGGTACTTGAGTCATATTTTTATTATCTTTTCACATCAAACTGCAGCTCTTGATTGAAGCGTAGCGAGAGGGTGGGAGTATAGAGGGCGCGGACTTGCCCTTAAATTACTGAAAAAAGTCGTTAATAACACGTGCGATTTCATTTTTAAATCGCCGATTGTTTTTGTCAGCGCCACGTGCTATTTAAGCCGTTGACACCCTTGTGTCGATATTCATTCATTCCCTGAATCGCAAATTTCCATCAACATATGCATGTCGTTTCCCACGGGGTTCTTGCAGGGAATTGCGTGTTAGTTGCCAAAAACGAGGTATTACATTATAATCATCAGTGATTGGATGCTAAAGATGAACTTTCAACCAGATTTTATATTCTTTTTTAGACATTGCAAATCACAAAATTTGGCCACACTTAGTGACGTTTATCGGGAAATACAAATCGAATCAAGATATAATAACGGCTTAAAAATAATCTCAAAGCTGAAAAATCCCGAAGTCGCAAAATTCGAAACCAAGCTATTTATTATCTGACAGTTTATCAATTGTTTCATGTTCACAGACTGTTGTAGTATTTTACAGTAATGAAGTTTTATTATACCGTAAATCGTCACAGAGTTGAGTCGGGAAGAATACAATTAAATTATTATTGAAACATATTTTTAATGCTCGCATGGATTGAATATATTACACTTGACATGGATTGAATATATTACACAGAAAAATCGTTATCCGCTAAACAAGTCGGCGATTTTAAGGTATGACGTGATCGCGGGACTGGTCGATAATCGCCTAATTTATTGTTTAGCACAGACCTTGAACACGAATATATAGTATATAGGGTAAGCACATTACTGCTACAAAAATCCAATAAAATACATCAGGCTAGTCCAAGCATGTCGGCGTTCGGGGCCACAATATTAGTTCTTTGGTGTTTTCGGCCACATTAGTCTCTGACTCTTTACAACAAAGATGGTACTTTTATAAATGAAGCGCTCCTGGAAAGAAAAAACCGAACTGTTATCAAACGATAATGAATAAACTAACACCTAGTTTCATCAAATAATTCTTGTCTCAGAACTTTTTATCTGAAGGAGAATGATCTCGTTTCCGAGGCCTCGCTCGCGTGCCAAATAAATGGTCTCGTGTGCCAAGTTCGGCACGCGTGCCATGGGTTACCCACCCCTGTTCTAATTTATCGAAATGTGTTTACAAATTTCCTGAATCTGGGTAACTATGGCTAACACAAGGTGTCATATTTGCAAGATGCAATCGAATCTACAAAAATATTCTCTAAGAACACAAATATTAGAATTTGATCGGAAAAATTGGAAAACTAGTTTGATGAAAAAATTAAGAGTTTTGAAAAAGAAATTTCTGTCCATAGTAGAATAGCTTATAATTTTACTCAAATGTTAATTTTTCCGTTATTTGAGAATTTTGTTCTGTGCATTTTAAATTTCCATTCCAACGTGAAAACATACAAACACACAGCCTGTTGTTTGACATTAATCCGTAGTTCAGAACGAAAGACTAGGAGATAATTTAAAATAAAAAAAGTGACCTGAAAAAGTCAACGTTTTACGAGTTTTCATGTAGTTCATATCGTCAGATTTATATTTTGCTGAAGAATTGGACCAGTTTGTTATAACTTGCTTAAAATGTCAGTGTCGGGAAATCACTAACGGTTCTGTTTATAAACTGGTTGCATAAAGGCAGCGGTTTTGTTTGCTACTTCTCAAAATTTGAAAACAATTATCTTAAGTTAATTGCTTGAGAACTCGGATGTTTAAATGAATATTTATTTAGATATTGGAAATATCAAAACGGAATTAAAAGAACTTGAAGAAAACCTCAATAAAAAAATAAAAAATATTCACAGTTTTGGGAAGCAGGGTGAGAATAACTGATAATTCCGATTTACCCTTTAATGCTCGCACAGTGGGTCAAATTTGGCACATCAGAGAAAACACTTACTATATTGGTCACGTATTGTTTTTCATATTAGTCCACTTGGTTGCGCTGTTGAGTAACTCAGTTACCATGCATCGACGCGTTTTCTCTATTGCGCAATAAACGAAGGAAATATTCCGAATTTAACAAGTGGGTTGCGGTTTTCGTCTCGTTGATTGTAATCTCGTGTCAGTTGGGCTGCTGGACGTAAATATCGTAGTGATGGGTGACTCAGCAAGGAAGAGTCCTAGCTTAGCAGTTTTTACCTATTTCCTCGGCATTTCGAAATCTTTAGATCATTGGTTCTCAAACTGCGGTCCGCGGTCGCTTAGGGGTCCGCGAAGCGATTTTAAGGGGACCGCGAAGCAGCTTTAACATCGGCACAGAAGCACTTTTATTCGAAGTAAAATTTTTGAACCATATGTATGTGCATTTTTTGTTGGAACAAAATATTCTTGTGTTATGCAAGGGGCAGTGCTATTTACCGCTTGATACATGAGCCTTCCCATTTCATATAAATAAAGATCTTTTATTCTAAATATACGAAGGATTTTGTAGTAACTACTTAAATTTGCCGACCGTGGCACCCCACAGATGATGGCTCGAATTGCTTTATTTTGGATTAACTGTAATTTGTTAAGACTGGTTTTGTCACGACAACCCCAAGTTCACAAACTCGTTCATCTCGAAATGGAGGATTATTTGTACCACGATTTTCATCCTCACATGCCCAAAATTCCATAAAGTACTAGGATGGGAGAATTTGAAGTAATATTAACGAAAACCTAAAAGAAATTTTCAATTCAAATTACTCACATTACTGTTGCATGATTATTAGTTACAACAAGTTAAAATGCTTTACCATCGGTATAATATAAAATGAAATCTGTCGACTTTATTTATGCCAGGAGAGTTGATTTGATTTAGTGACCGTATGTTCCTTCCAACGTTTTATCAATTCCTTTGTTAGTCGATTATCCATCCTTCTTTTACCTATTGAATGTTGTTATTTGTGTTTTTTGTTTGATTCTTGTTCTGTAGACATTGGTTATTAGTTTCAGAATTTTGATTGGTAAAGTTCAGCCACATTTAACTTCTAAACCAGCAGACTAATTGCTGAATTGTCGCCTGCAAAGTAAAACCTAGTTTCAGTGGTTCCTTGTTGTTAGTTTTTTAATAATATCAAGCCTGTATGGTTGTAACATTAGTAATGACAGGATAGTTCGAACGCAAAGTAAATGAACTAGA